TTGAAAAATGCAAATGTTGTCCATATTTTATTGCTCTATTGCTTCCCGAAGAGAGGAAAATCAGGTCTGAGGGACCCATTGACGAAACGATATTCAAAAAGGGCAGATATAAAATTGGCGCAGCAAAGGGTATTTTAGAATGAACATCATTTTTTTGTTACCTGCAATTAACTAATTAAAAAACAGGTTCACTTTAAAATAATGGGTTTCTAAGATAACGAAGAGACTAATTTATCAAACGATTTTTGACAAATCAAGTGAACAGGCATTAATGAATATAATGCTAATGTGAGGCAAGGAAGTAAAATAAGCTACTATCCTCACAAAAGTGTTCGTATTGCTTAATTAGTTAGCGAACGCTATTATAAGCAGACGCCTAAAAAAGTCAGATAGCGAAAATATCTATAAGAAATTAGAAGATGAGAAATAAGGATATTACAGAATCTAGCTAACAAGGCCCATGATAAATAAATGATGACAAAGTTATAGAAAGTCAGAAGCAATATGAAAAGAAATATACATATGAAAATAGCGTGCAAGAATGGATCTCTAGATCCAGTGGATCGGCAACCATTCCAGAGGAAGATGAGGAATTTTTGGAAATGTATCATGAAATACGAGATGTCTAGGCCCACCAAAAGCCAAATTCAGAACAGCAGCAATGAGGAAACTGAAAATAATCATCTCATCCCCTTAAAGCACTCTGGGACCTAGAGCAACTGTATCGCAATATGAAGAGAAATCAAAACTTTTAACTATGTAGTTCGCTTCAGAATACAGCTGATATCCGGTATATCTACCAGCTACATGATATAGGGGGATTTTGGCGTAGAATAAATTAAAGAAGCCGCTAACCAATCGTGATGAGTAATACCGGTCTGCCCACAGCTAGAGATGAGAAAGAAAATAACTTATCAGGGAAAATATGGCATGTGACTTGGTCTCTGGCGCCCTGCGGCTTCCAGTATTCTGTTTTGTCAGCAGAAAAAACTACATGGGGAATATCTGAGTATAAAATAAGATAAAGTTATAAAAGTTTTACAAGGGCAAAACAAAAAGCACTAGTGAAAAGATGTAGAATCAATGTACTATCTATTCTGGTTTCTAGGGCGGCTATGGTTAGCTAAATAAGGTATAAAGAATGATAAATTTTACTGATATGAAAGTATATATATACATAGAAAGATATAACTAAAAGAGTGGGAGGGGAAACTTAAGTGCACGTGCCTAGCTATCTCCGCAAGAGCTCAATTTTCAGAGTAACCTGAATGATAAAACAAAAAGGAATGCTACCACCAATAACCCCATACAGTTCCAACAAGGCGTAGCATGTCAGGTTAGAGATACCACCCAAACCCGCGGCCTGATGGGAAGTATAAAAGAGGTAGAGCAGTACTGTTAATACAAGAATTGTAGCGATATTTGAATTTTAGAAGTTTACTACAAGATATCAAGGCTATGGAAACATGAGGCATGAAAGTAAAAAAATCGCTTGTGGCTAGTTGGAGCTGAGCCTCGTGGAAAAGTCAGCATATAGACAAGCTACCAAGAATGAAACCTATTTTGGTCAGCCATAAATGACAAAAGATTATATAGCGCTATGGACGGGTAATTAATGGCCGGTTTGTTCGGAATGGCTACAATAAGAAAATCTACTTTCACTGGCAAGAAAACTGCTAATGATAAGGCTGCTAATACCAACTAGTGGAAGTATTTATCATTCTCCGTCTCAATATGCATAAACAGAGTATTCAAAAAGGCTGAAGTGATTATAGTCTGGTAAAAAAGCAGGAAAGAATGCAGTCATAACTATTGAAAAATATCATCAGAATATAAAAGTTATTTTGATTTTTATTTAATTTGGAGATTCATAGTGTGAATTACATTACTCGGTCGCTAAATAGAAGTTCTGTTGTGAATAAAAGTAGGTATTAGATGAAACGTGATAGGTCAAATGTGATTATGCAGTTATAAAAGTAGCTGAGGGCATAGATGAGGCAAGAGGTCAAATAAAGTAGTTCCGAATTCACAATCAATTCCAAAATTAGGGAGTCATTGTGAAGCATTAAAAATCATCGTAATAATAATCATAATGAATTAAAATTCTGGATAAAGTGAAGTTGGAGTAATTAATGAAAGGGAGCAGCATAGTTATACTAAAAAAACAATTCCAACTCAAAAGCTTGCAACTGCGATTCTATCACAATCGTAGGTACATCATTTTGCCATTTTTTAATTGCACCTCACTTAATAGTGAGCATAAATAGAACAAAATAGACAAATAATAGGAATGGGTAAGATGAATATGGCTTGTGCAAGGAAGAAGTTCTCCATAAGTAAGAAAGTCTAGAAATTTCTTAATTTTAAACTAGGATGCAGTTCTTCTTGAGTAAGTGGTAGCTTTCGAGTGAACACAATGGGGTTTTCAAGTGGAGATGTTTATTCGAATGCCCGTAAAGATTACAACTAGCAAATATCCAGCTAATTCGGCTTATTAATGACAAGATTGCAGGAGTATCATAAAACAGAAACAACTTTTTTGTTTGCGAAATGAAGGTGGTGAAAACAAACCTAAAAATCAGAACTGTAAGGAAAAGATTTGACTCCTCTGTACAAGTATGAAACTATTTGATGCCCTTGCATATTTCTAGCTTTAATGTAAAGTTTGATTCACCTGAAGGCTTATTTAAACAAATGAGTGAATGCCTTCTGAACATAAGGGAAAAAGGAGAGACACAAATTGTACTGCTAAAGCTCGCTGTTACGCTTTCTAATATCATTAAGGGTAAATCACGTCCTGAATTTAGGTAAAACACGCATATAAGTTGATTAATGTAAGTCTCACGACTCAAGGAAAATGCTTATGAGCACTATTCAAAGTCACTATGTCATGTCAAAAATCCTGAATAATCTTCTGACGAGCCCTATTGGCGGAAACCTCGACAATGACAACAGATTTTGGAAGGTGGAAATTGAGGGAAAAGGTAAAAAGCTGTTAGGTGTAGGATAGTATAGATAAAATAAAGGAAGAACACAGTGTTATTTCAATGCAGAGCATGTGGGAGACGACTTCAAAAAAAGGTATGACTTATATTGGCTAAGGCCATATATGCATGCCTGCGTCAATGGCAAGGAGAAAAGTATTTGGCTCTAGGCAAACGAGCCTGAAAGAGCAAGAAAGCAGCCTGGAAAAATAGAAGTGGGCAAATGGAAAATAAACAAATAAATAAGAATGTATATATATATATATTATATAAGTAGAAAATGATATAAAATCGCACGGATAAAAGCTTTTGGAATTTTGTGCTGATCCTGCAAACAATACTCGACGAAAACAATGTGTATCAAAAGAAATACATACATATGCATGCACATACGTGGGCTCATCCGCAGGGGCACAAGCAGAATTCTGCAAAGACATGCAAAAAAACTTGTTCGACAGCCTTCCAGCCCGACAACCACGCCGAGCTGACAATCCAGCAATTATTCTTTCTAATTTCCACTTCGTCTTCACCAAACCTGGCCCCAGGAGCACAACCAACAGTGCCAGCAGCCCCTGCACGGACACCACCAGAGGCACGATTAGCATTGCCAGCTGCTCCACCAACGTCAACTTTTCGGAACCCACTCCCCCCCCCACGATTTCTGCAACTCAGGC